AGAAAAGATCAAGAAAATGTATTACAAGAAGATGCAACATCTGAAGACTAAAGTAATGAGAACAGAAAGATTACCAAGAAGAGCCACAGTTTCCCTCTCGTCAAATCCTCTTAAGGAAAATAGCCTAAGAGTTTCACTGATATTCCCATTTGGCCGTGGAATTTCAGCCATGGCCTCATCAAAGAATGACTCTGTACTGTCCCTTCTGCCCGTTAACACAGGATAATATGGTCCACCAGCCTAAGATGTAGGAAAATAACACTTGATAAGGGAACACTGCATAATGTTCAAATTTTGGAAAAAAATAAAGACCAGTGATCCTAATTTCAGGTCTCTATCAAACTCAAGCTTCAAAGCATCAAAAGATCAAATTGCTATCTTGAAAGAGAATTTGATGAGCCTTTTTGTCTTAAATGTTTGATGACCTTGTTTATACTTTGCAATCTTTGGTTTCTGCTTCATTCATGAATGCATCTTTCTTGTGTTCAACTTGTACAAAATAACCGTCAGTTTTGAGGCAAACTGTCTTGAGTTTCCTGTTGTAGGTTTTAAACTTATTGATTCTGTCTAAATTTATGGCCATTGACTCTGAAAGTCAGCTCTTTCTCAGCGCATAAAATTAGTTCTCATCTAAAGTGCTTAAGCATTTGATGCAGATGTTTTCTATTATGTTTATATCTAACTGATAGTTGAACCGTTTCATTTTTAAAATATCCAAGAGTATCTAGTGCTAAGTGGAACTTATGTAACTCATATTGTGCTCAAGCTCGCACCTTAACCCAATACAGTTTCAATGTATCAAAACCTTGTAAGCTTGGGCTATACTAAATGAACTAGCTTGAGTTATAAAAACTCCTAATTGATCAATTCTTTGCAACCAGCTCACACACTTGTGAATAGTAACCTTTTGAATTTCTAGTATGGACTTTCTTTAACGACTCGTTCCTCGCCACTTTAATGAAATCCTAAATGGACTTTCTTCCAACAGAAATGGCTCCACTAAGAATTTACTTTTCTCCTTCCCACCCACATTGTCGCCGGATCATATGAATCGTCATAACCATCCTTCACGAGTGGCCTATATCCTTATCAACCTGAGCAGCGCCTTGGCGACTTGTCAAGATTGCAACTGGCAAAATTATGCAATCCATGAAGTGAAAAGAAAAATGGGAAGTACTTCTCTAGCTAGTAGTTGGTCACTTTTATATATATTTTGTATGAGATCGTTTTATCTTTTCGGGGGGCAGTGGAGTGGGTTATAGTTATTTTGTTAAATCTTATCAATACATTCTTGTGGGAAATTCAGTAAAATAGACAGTTAAGAGTAGCATAGCCTTAGAGTCATGGTACCCACAGTTACCAGAAAAATAAATATAAGAAAATAAAAAAAGCCAGAGATTAAAAGGTGGAGGAAAAATAAATTAAAATCAATAACGAGGAGACAAGCCTACATAATTGTCAATAGTGTGGTTTGTGGACAATATTCTGAAATAACAATAACTAAAATAAAAATTAGAGAGGCACTTTAACTAAAAATTTTGTTCAAAACAAAAAATATTCTTGGATAGTTGTAACTTGAGAAGACTTGGATTAATAATAATAAGAAGAAGAAGAAGAAATACGAGGCTACTTTGGCTGCATCTCCATATAAGCTTCTGGGATAGACATTTGTTCGTAAAGAGTTCTTGTATGAAGGTAAGGATTGAATTGGCCAACCAATGAGTAATGTAATCATGTATATGGAAACAAAGAACATATAGACATTCTAATTAAGATAAGATAATTTCTGTAGTTCTCAATGTCAGTTTTCCTGGAAGAGCATATTTTATACTTTACTTTCTTAGTAATGGTAGGAATAGGTGATAGAAAAAAAACAAATGGAGCTTATGAAACAGCATGGTGACAAGTTTTCCATTAGTGTGACTTGTTCCCCATCTTAAGCTTCAAACAACTCTACATATTGACGGGAGGGGGTTGCTTAGATGGACAGCACCTCCCACCTACAACACTAGTCGTGGGTTCGAGTCACCAAAGGAGCAATAGGTCCAACAAAGGGGGATCAAAGGGGAATTAAAGGGGAGAAGAATAAAAAAAGAAAAACTCTGCATCTTACATTTAGACACTATAATAGCCAATTTGGTTCAAAAAGCTAGAAGAAACTTCCCATGATGAATAGTTTTTAAATAATTACATATTATATCATTATCAGAACTGCACTGTTAACAAATGATACCACTGGAAGGTATCAAAAGTTTTTGTTATGTACTAGGAATATCTGAATATGCACAACAAGATTTTTTTAACGAAATTAATATGAGAAAAACGGCATACATGCCAGTGCATAAATTACACTTACAAATCAGTATAAGAATAAGAATTATAAAAAAGAAACTTCAGGTAGTTACTAAAAGAAACAAAAAATAAGGCCAGACTCATACCAGAATGATGCCATCTCTTGTTGCAAGGACAAGTATATCAGAACAAGAGACGACCCCAGAGCATGCCTCCTCAATTTCATCCTTTATCATGTCGATGAAATTGAACCCTTTCAGTGTCCGATTTGGGATCGCCTCACGTTCAACAGATCCATTCTTACTACTGTCAGCAAGCAGAACAGATGCATCGCAGCCCTGTAATGAACAGGACAAGAAATTTTCATAAACATAAGAACTTAGAAAGAAAAAACAAAGAAATTATATCGAATTTTGACTGCCTTCACAGGTGACGTTAGCAGCTTCTAAGTCTTAGAGTGGCTAGTGAGATTTAAGCATAAAAAGTACAGATAAAACCACATGTTTCTGAAAATAGGAATGACAACAGTAACTGACTGATTTTGAGCAGTTAAATATCCTTGACTTAGAAAAGACTAACGCAAGGCATGAGAACACAAAGCTGAAGAATACAAAGATGAAAAATTAAAAGGCTAATTACAGAAATGTCAAAGAAATACCAAAAATGTCAGAGAAAATAAAAATAAACTCGCATTCATTACATGCAAGGAAAATATTAGAGTGAGATAAGGCTTGAAATAGAATAGAAGTAATTTGCACTGGGATCACAATCACTTACAGAATAGAACCAAAAAAACAGTAAGAAGTGCAAAATCAACATCATAGGAGCCTAAGTTCCTCCCCATCTCCAACCCCTAAAAGAAGAAAAAGTAAACATAGTGCTAAAACCCAGAAAACACCGATTAAATGAAATAAACAATCTAATACAATGCACAAAAGAGAAAAAGAAAAACACACATCAAGAATCCGAAATTGCAACAAAGTAACAAAATATCGAGCACAAAGAAATTACAGACTAAGATAAAATGAAACAAGAAAATGGAGAGTAAATGGGAGAGTACGACATTTACCCCGACGAAACAATCATGGAAGAGAAGACGCAAGAGTTGGGCGGGTGCATTGTGTTGCATTAGCACTATTCTGTGCATGGTAGACCATACTATTTCCTCCACATCCCTTTCACATTTATCCACATAATAATTATATCTGAGTGTTGAGGCAGTTAATGCGTCACTTTCTGGCGCAATCTCTGTTTGGGCACTCATAGAGAAGAAGAAGAAGAAAATGAAGATTGAGATAACCGCCATGACAGCCCCTTTCTTGCTCCACATTTTGAATGAATTGGAAAATGTTAGAGAGGAAGTGGTGGACTGATACCTGACTGCTTGCACCACTATATATATACTGTTTTACACGTGGGATTAGGATATTAATAGGCTTTTTCTCTTCTTCTTATTTGTTACTAGTAATCATACCCGCGATCAATATTAAAAAAATATTTGTCACTTTGTTAATTTTTTGATGTTACATTTGAAATTATCACAATTATTTGATTATCCTATTCTATATAAATAGAATAGATATTGTCTAAATTTTAATAAATAAAATCTCCATTAAATTAAAGGGACTTATATAGTCATCAAATAATTTTTTCGTTATGTATTTTTATTTATTATATTATCCAATATTTAGTATAATTATATTGTTAATAGAAATTATGACACTTGTCATTATAACATTTCTTTGCCTCTCCTATTATATATATATATAGATGATATAGATTTCTTTGACTCTCCTATTATATATATTATATATTATACATATATTATATTATATTATATTATATTATATATTATATATATAAATAGATTTTTTGTTCTTTTATTTTAAAATAATTTTAAAACTCCAATTTGAAACTACTCCCCAATTTGAATTGGTAATTCATTATTTTTATTAATTTCGTTTTTTATTTTAAAACTCCAACTTGAAACTACTTCCCAATTTGAATGGGTAATTTTTCTTCTCTTTTTTTGTTTTTTTATAGGTAAATTTTTTTTTGCTTTTTATTTTAAAATAATTTAAAAACTCAAACTTGAAACCACTCCCACGAAATTTAATTGGGTAGTTATTTTTTATATATTTAATTTTCGTTTTTTAATTATATTTATTTATAAGATATCTATATTTATTAATCCAAATAAAGTAACCAATTAATATATATGGTAGTTTTCTATTGTATTTTATTATTTTCATTTTTTATATGTATTTAAATTCAAAAATAAGTAATCACTAACTAATTATAAACTAAATAACTAATTAGTAGCCAATTATGCTATGTGCCATTTTTTTAGGCTGCCACTTGGCTTGAGGAGAGGACTTTTTCCTCTCCTTTTAATAATATATAGATATAGATATAGATTGTTCTTTAGGATTTTTTTTAACATGTAATTTTGCTTTTAAGTATCAAATTAGTGTTTAAAAAAATAAAACTACAAAGAAGGTTTCTTTTTTCCTTAAAGGTATATATTATATTAATGCATAGAATAAACAAGTTGAGCAAAGGTGCCCATAGCATCCTTTACAATCCAACTTGGGGAAAAGTTCTACCAAGATACTTTCTTTAATAAAGTAATAGAAAACTTAGCTAAATTATGTGCTAGTTTGTTTAGATTCCTACGAATATAAACAAAGTCTACATGATCAAACAAAGTCGAGAGCTTCCAAATGTCTTCACAAGTCACTTCTATCTCCCATGAAGTAGTAATTTTTTTCCGAATCATGTCAATAAGACTCTTTGCATCCGTTAGGATCTTCACCTTCTTCCAACCATTCATAAATGCACGTTCGAGAGCCCTTCTTATAGCAAGTGCTTCAGCTATCATGGCTTTTCCCACAAATTGGATTGGGGATCCATGGTCATGAAGCAGTTTCTCAATGCTATCCATAGCCGCAACACCAATACTTGCACGTCTAGCATTGCGACGACCCAAAGGGTCATCACCTATTTTCTTACTCATCCGTGCTTCCGAGGCCTTAAAACCGTCATTTAGGGTTGCCTCGATTTGCGTGCGCAGTCCGGGCGGGTAGCCGAAAAGCTTAAATATGAATTCTGTGAGAAAAATGCTAAATTTTGATATTAAATTAATTAAATTTGACTTCGGTCAATATTTTGGGCAAACGGACCCGGACCCGTGATTTGACGGTCCCGGAGGGTCCATAGGAAAATATGGGACTTGGGCGTATGCCCGGAATCGAATTCCGAGGTCCCAAGCCCGAGAAATGAATTTTTGTGTGAAATTATTTTCTGGAAATGATTAAGGAAAATTAAAATGAAATTTGATTAAAAGAGTGTGGTATCGGGCCCGTATTTTGGTTCCAGCACCCGGTACAAGTCTTGTATATGGTTTAAGCGCTTTCTGTAAAGTTTGGTTTAAATCGGACGTCGTTTGACGTGTTTCGGACTTAAAACTCTAAATTTGAAAGTTTATGAGGTTTGAGGCAAAATTTGTGATTTTGAGGTTGATTCGTTGTTTTTGATGTTATTTTGGCTATTTGATCGCACGAGTGAGTCCGTAGGATATTATTGAGGTGGTGTGCATATTTGGTTTGGAGCCCCGAGGGTTCGGGTGAGTTTTGGATGGGTGTTGGATTGCATTTTTGCATTTTTGGAAAAAAAAATCTGGTATCTCTGATCTGCAGGCTTCGCATTTGCGAAGCCAGTACTCGCAAATGCGAAGGTCCAGCTCTCGCAAATGTGAAGGCTGGTCCGCAAATGCGAAACCAGCCCAGGCCTGACAATGATCGCAAATGCGAAACCATTCTTCGTAAATGCGAAGGTCCAGGGTTCGCAAATGCGAGACCTTTTTCGCAAATGCGAAGGTCCTCTGATAGGCCTGAGTTCGCAAATGCGAACAAGAGTTCGCAGTTCCCATAATTTAGTCGGGGTTCGCAATTACGAACCCCTGTTCGCAATTGCGATAACTGCAGCCCAGCATATTTCATACTTAGTCGAATTTTAAGTCATTTTCCACCCCACTTTCAAAATACAACTCTTTGGGAGATTTTCCAAGAACAAGACTTCTTCCAAATCATTTGTAAGTTGGTTTTTACTCATTCTTTCAATCTTTAACATCATTTAACATGTTTTCAACTTAAAATCAATGGTTTTCATGGGTGAAATTGGGGGTTTTGGGTAGAACCTAGGTTTTCTATAAATTGGGGATTTGGACCTCAATCTGAGGTCCGATTTTAAAATAAATTGCGTATTTGAGTTCGCGGGGGAATGGGTAATCGGGTTTTGGTTCGAACCTCGGGTTTTGACCACGTGGGCCCGGGGGCGATTTTTGAATTTTTGGGAAAAACTTGGGAAAATCATTTTTTTTTATTGCATTCAAATTGATTCATTTAGCGTTTATTAATGTAATTGAGTAATTTGTGACTAGATTTGAGCGGATTGGAGGTGGAATCACGGGGTAAAGCGATAGTTGAGGTTTGAGTGGAATCCAAGGCATCGAGGTAAGTGTTTGGTTTAACCCTAGCTTGAGGGAATAGGAATTGAGTCTTGTTTGCTACTTGCTAATTGATCGAGTACGATGTATAGGCATGGTGACGAGTATCTATACATTGGTGTCTAGTGTGACCGTGAGTCCCTACTTTGCGAATAGTTTGGTTGTTGATATGCTTTCCATGTTTACTTGATGACTTCTATATGTTGTAAAGACCTTGTGAAAGAAATTGTGATCTTGAAACTTCGTGGAGCATTGGCTCGGGTTGAAATACAAATTGTGAAGGTATATGAGATAAGTAACTCTTTGGAGCATTGGTTCAAGTGATAATGTGAACGATGAAATGAAAGTGAAAGAAAGAAAAGAGTTAATGATTTATTCCCTTGCCGGGATGTTGTTGGTTATTGATGATGTACCCTTGCCGGGTCTTTAAATTGTTGTTGTGTACCCTTGCCAGGTCTTTAAATTGTTGTTGTGTACCCTTGCCGGGTCTTTAAATTGTTGTTGTGTAACCTTGCCGGGACTTCTATTCTTGTTTTATTATTTTCCTTACCCTTGTTTGTGATTGTTGATTGGGTGAGGAAGAGTGTTAAAGCACGAAGGTTGATGCCGTGCATTGAATGATATTTGTGGATCGGGTTGCGCGCCGCAACAATGTTAAATGATATGGGTCGGGTTGCACGCCGCAACAATGATATTTATGGATCGGGTTGCACGCCGCAACAATGATATTTATGGATCGGGTTGCACGCCGCAACAATAATATTTATGGATCGGGTTGCACGCCGCAATAATGATATTTATGGATCGGGTTGCACGCCACTACAGTGTTGTTATATATTGGAATCGGGTTGCGCGCCGCAACAATTATTGATACAAGTGTGTTTATTTTGGGGATTTGTTTCTTGTCCGCTGTAAATTCCAAGCTGCCCTTAGATTGTTTTTTTCTGGATTTACTATTAATATTGTTTCCTCCCCACAACATGCTCCCCCCTCCCATATTGTTTACTTGTCTTATTCCATTATTTTCGTGATTCTTTACGTTGACATTTCCCTTTATCGTGTTACTTGTCATTATTTGTTTTCCTTAGTGAATCATAAGTTTTGCGTACTTATTGTCTTATGAACTCGTATTACTTGTTACGTTTGTTAGAGTGAATTTCTTGTGGAGTAACTGTTGATTTAATTGAAATAGGAGCGGGTGGTACGCCTACCACGAGATATTGAGAAATGGGATCGGGTTGCACGCTTGCAACAAGATGAGTTGGATATGAAAGTTGCCTTATCTCTTCATTTATTGCTAGAAGTTAAATTGAGATGTACTCTTTATTAATCCTGATACTTTATTTCTAACTGTTGCCCCTAAAGCATGCTCCCTTCCCCAGCTTAAATTGTTAATTTCTTGCTACTTCTCCGTTGTACTTGTATATATATATCTGCACAGGTTTATTTGGTGGTCTGGTTCTAGCCTCGTCACTACTTCGCCGGGGTTAGGCTAGGCACTTACCAGCACATGGGGTCGGTTGTGCTGATACTACACTTTGTGCTATTTTGCACAGACCCAGGTTTCGGACGGCAGCAGCAGTAGTGTGAGAGCAGGCTTTCAGTCCAGCGAGACCCGAGGTAGCCTTGCAGGCGTTCGTAGGCCCCAGCGTCTTCTTTCATCTATATTCTTGTTTCTTTCATGTATTTCTGGAGACAGTGTCGAGTATATTTCTTTCATACCTTTATGTGTAGTATTCTTAGACCGTCTGTTAAGGTATGACACCAGTCTTGGGTAGAGGCTTTTGTTGGCATTTTCCGCATTTTTAATTCAGTTTTCTATAATATTGA